GTGCCTTGACAAACCTATTTGATTTCCCCAATTCCCTGTGGAGACGATACTCAACTTATCACTGTATTACTTGTTTGATTGTGTATACTTGCACATATATCCGCACCCATTTATAGTACTCACAAATAGCGGACATAAGTCGATAGCTGCACTGGTACAATTCTTTTAGCCTGAAAAGATGAGTAACAGAGTGAGCTTTGGAAAGCTCAGTAATATAGAACTACCAAATGATGCTGAAGAACGTGTAGATACATATAAACATATATTTTCTTATTAGTTCCAAACATCTATGGATTTTCATGCAGAGCATAGATCCTACTGATATTTCAGATAGTAACGGACAATGAGTTTTCAGTTCAGATGAAAATATTTCGGATGTCTAGGTTCAGGAGATCAGAATAGGTTATCTAGTGTGTTCCCGTAAAACCAGTAAAAAGATACAGATCTTTTAAAACATATATATATATCCCCATCCATCACGTACAAAATGTGTAGGTTCCCTAGAACCATACAACCCCGTCACGTCCAGTAAGGCCCTGAGCACAAAGCCGATGAGCCTCCAGGTATTCTTCCTCCAACAATACCCCCAAATAAAACATGTTCTGTCCGTAAAAGAATATATAAAAAATCAAAACATAATTCATGTCAAGTATCATATCAAAATCTAGGTCAAGTATCAGATCAGAATCCAAGTCAAGTATCAGATCAAAATCCATTTCAGATATCAGATCAGAATCCATGTCAAGTGTCAGATCAGAATTCAAATCGAAAATCAAATAAAATATTCATGTGAGTAGGGAACACACCAGAATTTACATATATTATTCAAAGATATTGGATAATCTTAACAGGTAGAGAACACAGATCTTCAGTATACCGATAGAATATCAGAATTCATAATCACTATTGGAAGAGTTCAATTCATCAATTATTCATAATGAAACTTGAGTTGATAAGGAAGAAATGAGGGTTCATGACATTTACAGTCAGTGTCGATCTATCAGACTATTGAAATAACTCAAGTTTAACAACTCCAGAATTAATGCATGTTGATCGGTTCATTCTTTGTCCTTCAGGTATTCATTCTTTAATAACAACAATTAATGTGCATAAATCATCTTTGGAGTCATCGCTGAATGGGTCTTCCAAGGGTCTTTCTTTCACTTCCACACTTTAACGATATCATGAAATGCTGACATACTTGATTTTTGGTTCATAACCCATAGTAATTGTACATTATGTAACCTCATCTGAGTTTCCAGACTTATCCAAATCACTTACTTAATCCTCAGTCATTGAGGTTACTTAGTTCATTTAGCAGTCAAGTCTATTCCAGTTAATTCGGGGTTTTCTAGGGTAATCCAGACGTTTCTGAATTTCAGATACATATTGTACTTCCGTTCAATTCAATTTGGTCTCCGTGGTTGATTTGTCTAACGAATATCCATTTCTTATTACCAAATGCGATCTAGAGTTGAGTTGAGCTTAATACTTTCAAAATTATCATCGAGCTAAACTTGAGTAGACGAACACGCATTCAAGTAATATCTATACAGTTCAGGTACTGACATATCATTGAGGTTGATCAACTCACTTAAGTTGTGTTCCATAACTTTTAAGGGTAGTACAACATCCATGTTTATTTGGATTCCTTAATTAATCCAAAACATTTACTTAGTCTAGGCCATAAGGGCATTTTGGTGCTCAATGTTTTTCTATTCATTTCAAAGCTTGAAGAAGTTTATTCATTCTTGGGCTTGGTGATATTCTTGAGTCTTCCATTACAGGGGTATTCTGGTCATTTTATATATCCATTGTATTATAATCATTTACTTCTGTACGATCTTATTATTTAATTCAAACGTATCATCTTTTCCAGACCTTTTGAACAATTCTGACAAAAGAGCACCCTCAATAATTTATTCTTAACTCAGAGATTTCCATGTCAATTGTTTTCTCAGAAGTTACCAATAGGTTATCAGGAACTTTCTGCACAAAGACGGGATCTTAACAATTAAATATGTAATTTATCGAGTTAAGTACAAATCTTCAAAGTACTTTCTCATTCATGATCAACTCGGACTATCTTTACTTCTCAAGGGCATTTTTGTAATTTCTTAACCAGATAACTTCGGTATTAACTCTTAACGAAAATAATTATAATATAGAGATTCTATGGTTAATTGCTTTCCCGAACATTCTCTGAGCTTGAAATGATTCCTTAACAGACTTCTAGATTCTTGCCCAAAACCCTCTTGGGGTTAAAAACCGGTTATCCATATTTCCTAAACAAAACTAGCATATCTTATGCACATCAGTAATTTTTACCGGATCAATATGTCTTTTCAGAGTTATTAACCAACTTCTAGGGACAATTCTTGTCATCTTACAACATAAGGGTATTTTCGTAATTTTACCCAACCAGAGTATTTTCATAATTTCTCATCTGAGTACCTTTAATATTTAACCTTTGTTGATATAAAATATAAGTTACTAATCCAGGGCTGATTTCTTTATCACTAATCACAAAACTTGTAATTTAATTCTAACAATCCCTCAATCTCTTATATTAGTCATTCGATCTGTATTCAGTTACCGAATTTCTACCGCATTTATATCGAGTGTATAAATTAATCAACTCCACAAAAGTGACCAACACTATCTTATTCATGCATTTACCAATATCAACATGTTCCATAAAGCATAAAGAGGTAGTAAAATATTACCTCAATTTTAATGTCATACTGATCAACTATTAAATTCCATTTGAACGCCCTCGATTTTGAAATCAACTTCCAATAATCCCTCAGATGCATATCAACAACAATTACATAAAAAAGGAGCTTAATTCCGAAAAATAGATCGAATCGGGAGATAAATCAATCAAAAACAGCTTACCGGGTTTGAATTTGACGAAACAGTCTTCGGATTCAGAACGTCGAAAAAAAATAATATATGAATTTTTGAAAATTGACTTTTCTGTCAAAGTCAACGGGTTTGACTGGCAATTTCGAGGCTTTCAGGTCCAAATTTCAAAAAAAAACGGACTACGAAATCGAACTCAGGACGTCGAATAATATCAGGATAGGTATACCCGAAAAAAGTCAACGCCGGTCAAAGTTCTGGTCAACGGTGGTCAACGCCGGTTAACAGTCAAAGCATGTCAACGGTCAACAGTCAACAGTTTTACACAAATATCACCATAACAAAAATTAATTACAAAATTAGCACCCTTTTAATAATATTTACAAAACTAGCACTCGAGTTTTACACAAATATCACCCTAACATGAATTAATTTTAAGGCATTTTGAGACACTTACCAAGCTCGGTTCACAATTTTGAACAGTGGAGAGTTCGATACCGAAACGTGGAAAACTTTGACTTTCTCACCCCTCCACGCGTCGGCGACGACGGAGACCACCGGTGGACTCGGAACGATGCAAGGAACACGATGGTGCGAGAGGTGTCGAAAACGGATGGTCGGATCGTCGTGAATCGACGGAAAACCAACTGAAATCGAGTTAAAACCGACGATACTTCCAACTGAAATTAACGACAAACGATGACAATTCACGACAAAATGTTTGAGGGGTTTTGTTCATCGGTCGATAACGAACACGATAGTGGTTTCAGTTCGTCAAACGGACGCCGGACGGTAAGTAGATCGGAGTGGAAAGGAGGGTCAACCGGGAAAGGGAAATAGGAAAACATTCTGGAATCTGATCGAGGAAGGGGTTTATAATTCATCCCATAAAAAATGAGTAAACCATGAGTTTAGTCACTGAAGTTCCTGTACTTCTTAAAATGGTCTGCCAACTTTACGATTTTACAATTTAATCCCCAATTTCTTCCAAAATACCAATTTAAAATCAATACTTTATAATTTTTAAAATTTAGCCCCTAAATTGAGGTGTTACAATTTTGAATTACCAAAAATAATTATGAAATTATATATATATTTTTTACAAATATTAATAATATATCTAGTTCTTGAATGAATGGATTTTGAATTATTTGTTTTAGCTAGTTCTTGGAAATGAATGGATTTCAGTCTAATTCTTTGATCATTGTTATACTGTGGATTGTTTTTGGAAGAACAATAAAATATTTGTGACGATGTGATTGAATTTTTCTCTTCGGTGGGTGCTGTTAGATTGACAGCGAAAATCCTGTGGAAATGGTTCCCGTGATGACTGTAGAACCGGGATTCGGTGGACAAAATTTCATGGCAGAAATGATGGATAAGGTTTCATATCATTTCTCATTGTTCAGTTCCATTTCAGGCTTTCTAGATTTTATTTGAATGGCATTTTTTTTACTTGATTTGAAGGTGCGCGCCCTAAGAAAGAAGTACCCATCACTCGACATAGAGGTAATAAAGTTATTATCTTGTAATATTCGAGAACTTGATCATCGCTGATTATTCGAAACTACATATTCCTAGGAACATCACCTTCTTTCATTACCACAATGTTATTTTGCAATGACCCTTCATTTTAGATGAAGTATTGTTATCCAGCATATATATGAACATAGGTATGAAGATATGATCCTCTAAGGATCCACCAAATATGTGGATGAAACTCATATCCGACACACTCGAGTTTGAGTAACTTAGCTGAAACGACCAACTGTTAAAGCACTCCCAGTTTTGTTTCGCAGGTCGATGGTGGCTGAGGGCCTTCAACCATCGATATGGCGGCTTCAGCAGGAGCAAATTGCATCGTTGCCGGGAGTTCAGTATTTGGAACTCCAGAGCCAGGTGCAGTTATATCCCTTATGCGAAAAAGCGTTTCGGAAATAAGAAATGATAAAACAGTTTTACGTATGCGAGATAAAGCATTTGTGGGTTTTCATGAGAAATGTATACAGATTATAAAATAGATCGGCTTCACATGATAAATTCTGAAATTTAACAAAATGATACTAATTTTTATAATCCCATGCTGATCATTTACAAACTGCCCTGCATGATGTACATAAATGTATGTATGTAGATCATAACATCAGGAGTCTAAATTCATCAAAATTGATAACACCATCACCATTAAGATCAAACCGAGAAATCATCAATTTACAATCCTCTAAACTCCTAGGCTCACTCAATCTACCAAGCATCCTCTCCAAACTTTTTGGGGTAATAAACCCACAGCCAGCTTCCATTTCATACATCTTGAAAGCCTCTTTCAAATCCTTCATTCTATCTTCATCTCCAACTTCATCCACTAACCTCATGAAACCTTCCAGCCCCAACAGCCCATCACCGTCCGTATCCAAATCCTCTACCACCATCTCTGCCTCCACGAGCGACAATTCCCCTCCTATCGTGTTCACGCACCATTGAAGCTCCGCACCCTCTGGTATAAACCCACGGCTTGAGCTATAGCTTAAAAATCACACATTGTAGCGATTGAACCCTATATTATATACTTGCAAGAAACACAAAAACAAAACGGAAATTCTATAATTTGGGGTTGGCTATACAAAAAAAAGGTGATATACAATGAAGAATGGGAAAATGAAAGGTAATGGAGCACAAAAAGGAGTTTAAAAATGGATTAAAGTGGGAAATGAAAACATGTGTGGGCGCCTGCCGTACATGAGTTGAGGACCTTGCAGCTTCTTTTTCATGTTAAAAGAAGAGTTCTGACCTTTCAATATTCAATATCATGCATGCAGCAGGTGATTTTGGAAGAAACATATCTACATAATATTTTATATAGGATTATAACACGCAAAAATTATATAAATATACGAATTATTGAATTTAGAATAAAAAACTTAACATCCCTTTAATATATTCTTAGTATTTGTGTCGATGTATTGATTGTGTACAAAATTTTTATGTTTCATTAAAATAAATTTAATTTTAAAATTTTATGGTAATGCATTATCATTTAGTTAAATAAAAATATATAAATTTTATAGATTATTAATGTATTAGAATATATAAATTAAAATATTTGTAAATAACCAGGAAAGGGGCAGAAGAGCCGAAAGCTTCATTTTATTGATTGATGTAGTTTTCTTATAGTTGACTTATCAAATTTCCATGAAATTGAGCATTAGGGAAAATGGGAAATGGAATATTATATATTGAATTTTATTTTCTCAACTTCTTTAATTTGGTGTGCATGTGTATATTTATTGTTTGTATAATTGTATTTAAATGTTTATAAATTACAATTGAATTTGGTGTGCACATGTATATCTCTAAGTTGTATAATTGTACCTAACTAGAATATTATATATTGATTTTTATTTTATCAACTTCATGTTTATAATATCAAAGTTGATTGTCATCGACTTTTTTTATAATATTTCTTATGTTTTTATCAACTACGAAAAAAAAATCGAAGATCCAGGCGCCACGCTCATCAAGAAGAACAACACCCGCAGCGACCTCGTCTCCTTGAATATTAACCGCCCCGTCCACATTCGCTTTTATCTATCCACAAGGGGCAACCCACAATTGGCTGTGAGGAGATATGGACCTAGCCTGGTTTGAATTCCTGGGTGCACTAGGCGAGCTCCTTGCTTCAACAATGGTTGAAACCATTTGATGGTTGATGGAAAGAAGTAATAAGATTTCCATGATCAACAAAATTTTCAGCAACGAAAAAGTCACATCTTCTTTTCCAGAGTCTCCAACAAACGATTATAAATAAAATCGACCAATTGTTCTTGTTAATAGAGGCAATACCATGGCCATAGAGATTCAACCACATCCAATCCCGAAATAGCAAACCCATAAACACTCTTAATTCTTCAGGTTTGATCAAGTGATTCCAAATATCCCGAGCAAACCGACAATCTCGAAGTAAATGATCCACATCCTCATCTCTAAGATTGCACACTGGACACAAACCAGAATCTGACAGGTGTCTTCGCACTCGCTCCATATTCGTAAGAAGACTGTTTTGCAGGACCAACCAAAGGAAAACTTTGACACGTTGAGACACCTCAAACCTCTAAATAAGTTTCCAATTAAAGGTTTATTGTTCTTCAATATTCATATCTAAAGCTCTATAAGCTTATCTCATAGATAAAGCTCTAGAATCCTTCTAACGCTGGTAAAACCTCTGTTTTGCAGGTGTGCAATATCGTCATATTGCTGGTAAAACGTCTGTTTCCGGTCATTTTTCCAATTGTTTCAAATGTTCCGCAACTCCTGAATATCATTCTGTTTGAGGCTGATGAAAGCGTAGCCAACTAGGTCTGACACAGCTATCTTGCAAATTATCTCCTTTTTTCTTCTGAGTCTTTTCTGACCATAGCCGTACTTCTGCATTTTTATCTCTTGCATTAAAACCCCTTTGTCAAATAATGTAAACTATTCGGGTTTAACGAACATTTTGCGGATCAACACATCTTTAAATGATGCAAATGATAAAAATAAAATAAAACAAAAAATGAAAGGAAACAAGTTAGTGAGACAAAAACAATAATGAAAATAGAAATTAATACCCCTCATGATGTTTACCCTACATGTTTTTTGTTCCTACTCGGACATAATTTCTATCCCGCATGTTATTTTCTTGAGCGGATTCTAACTGTATATATTTCTAATTCGCATTATTTGAACATTATAAATAAAGCAAGAAATAAATCAATCATCCTAGGTTTTGAATGAAGTTTTGGGGTGGGCTTTAATTCCTTGCAGCATCACGATTTGGTTTTAAAAAATGTACTCGAGTTCTCATTGCCGGTGCCCCCTTAGGCTTGTCAGACCCCCAGTCTTAAGCCCATCACAGGCTCATGTGAACCAAGTTAAACTCGAGAGGATACATTCTCTTATGTCTGTACGGAGAATAAATTCACAAGAAGACATAAGGTATAACCGAAGGTTACTTGCTAGGCTTATACGAAGAATAAATTCCCACAAAGACGTTGCTTTCGCCCCCACTTAAAAATGGTTTCGAGCTCGGGTATAGAGCCTGAGATCATAAATGTCTTTTTAAAACATGCTGAAATCATTGGAAAACCGTTAGTTCAACTATTTATTTGAAAAATAACAATCAAAGGTAAATAACAAGGATCAAAAAGATGAATTATAATCCAAACTTACAACTTTCGCTTAGGAAGACAACTGGGAATCATTTTTGGCCTGACTCTCTTACCGTCCCCAGTGGAGTCGCCAAGCTATCGTAACTGCCCTGCGAGTGGTCCCAGAATCGAGTTTTGACTTAAATTGACACTGATAATTTCAAATTTGGTTGATCATACACCTTAACCTATCATTTGTCTGATCTATGACTTACCAAAAATTAGTCAGATTCGGGGGTCGATTACAATCAATGAAGGATTAACACCCTTACACTGCTCTTTCTGTACCAATTTAATTCCCCGGTTATCTTAATTGTGAAAAGTAAAAATTAAAATTTAAAAATTCAATCCGAATTACTTACCTTTGACAAACTTTAAAATAGCCTAAAAATGTAAATTTAATGTTCAACAAAAAAATAAGAAGGTTCATGGTATCGAATTAAAGAAACACAAATATTACAAAGGATTAAATTGAATTAATTCAAAATTCAAAGACAAAATTACAACAGATGACCAAAATGAATTATGCATCAAAACTTCAGAGACTGCAGAAACAATTTAAAAATTTAGTAATTACACAGAGGTCCCCCTATAAATAGCCAAAAAATACAAATTTCATTCATTTTTCAACTATTTCTCAAAACCAAACTCACCCAAACTATCTCTCAACTCTCCCAACTCCCTCTCTACATCCGGCCAAAAGCCGACCACCCACCGACGAAGCCCCGCGACCCGGATCACCGCTCTGACCACCGCCACCGGTGGCTGGAATCCTAAAAGCTAGCCTAAATCACTCATCTCAACACCCCAAAGTCGAACTCGAGCCCTAAATTTTCAAAACAAACCCCAAACAGCGTAGATCTAAAAAAACACTCGGCTCTTACTTTTTCTGATGTGTCTCTTCAACTTCCGGCGACTGTTCTTTTTTCTGAGCAAAAAACGTTGCTAGCCTTGATTTTTCTTGATTTTCGATGGGTATTCGAATGTTTCTTGCTAATTTGCGTGTTTGATACTTGATTGCTTTGATTGTTCGATTGCATGTATATATAGCCCCTCGACAGGGGTTGTTTCCCTTATCCCCGATTTGCTCGGGTTTGTTGCTGTTCGTGTTGGCCGGGAATCACGGGAAAATATTTGTACCCGATTTTGTTTCGATTTAATTGTGCTGCCTGTTTTGTGTTGATTGTTGCTTCGGTCAGTGTTTTGGGAAGTTTTCTCCTGAAATCGCGATTGAGAAAATATGGGAGTGATGTGCACCGACCATTTGCTTGCTGGTGGTATTATGTCTTCTAGAATGTTATGGGGCTTTCTTGACCGTTGGATTGCCTACAAATCCAATGGCCCAGGATTGGTTGTGCAAATGCCTTATACTTTAGGGTTTAAAAACCCTAGCCACCTTTGATATTGATAGTTTATTTTTTTTCCTTTAAATCGTGCAGTTCGCCGTTGTGCGACACTTGACTTGAGTGTGAAACCTTAACAAACTCCTCTACTGGGTCAGGTAAGTGGGTCTGTGTTTTGGACCTTGACTGGAGCTGGGTCATTGACTTTTGGACTTTGGACATAATTTTGATTTGGAAAATAATAATGATAAAAATTAAATAAAAGAAAAGAAAAGAAGATGATGATAATAATAATATACTATATATTAAAACTATATATCTTAAAAATTTATATATTATATATTATATTTTCAAAACCTGTATGATTTCAAAAATTATATATATTAAACATGTTTTCAAAAATATATAATAATTAATATACTATATATTATACCATATATATTTTTGAAAAATTATATTTTCGAAAATTATATTTTCAATATATATATATATATATATATGTTAAAACTCGGAACAAAGTCTCGGAAGAGAATGATTGTCTACACTATTTTATCCGGGTTTTGGGTCGGGTTCATGTCATGAAATTTCGTTTAAACGGGTACCCAACTACTCGAGTATCTTTCATTTGGTTTCAACAAAACTCTCGTATTATTCCTACCCCACACGAATATTTCTTGTTTTTAGATTATGAAATTAAAATGAATATTCTACGAAATACTAAATAGTCAATTCATGAATTAAATTTCTGGGTAATTATTCTTCAAATGTGTACAAAATTATTCAGTGCTTCTTTTCCTTATATAGTTTATTAGTTTTCAATTTCCTTCATGTAGAAATCCCTGTCCAAAATTCATTTCTAAGGTATCGTTTGATTCTATTCGAATAGGAAATAAATTACCATGATTAAGATCTTCATGCTGGGATGCTTTGGAAATTTTCTGTTCATCGTTGGAACCCAAATGCCTCCTTGTTTCATGGGTTGTGTTTGTCGATTGGTCTAATTATCAAAACCTACCAGTCGTTCGACGAAATGTCTGACCCATTTCTCTCGCTTATTTCACCGACTTTTAATTATAGTTTGTTGTCTTTTTCAACATAAAAGAATAGATTCAGATTACTATTTGACTTCTATATCGTTATTCCCAAACTGAATGATCATTAAAAATTCATATAAGGAGTTTTCTAAGTTTTTTGTTTTTTGTTTTGTTGTGAGTGAGAAAATGAAGAAGAAAACAGAGGACAAATCATGAGTCAGGACTAACGGACACCCTATTACTCAAATTAACAACAACAACAACAAAGTCATATTTTCATATGTAATGAGGTAATGGGAGGTAGGGTAGTAGGCTGCCCCAATATCAAGTTAATAGCAGCTTCCGTGGAAGATATCCGACAGTTAGAAAAATTAAAAGTAAAGATAGAAATGCCAATATATGGGTACACGACTTTTACGGGTCGGATCATGGGTCGAATTTTTAGTTCCCGAAAATTTCAAGTACCCAAAAATGCGATACTGAAATATGAACATTCATACTTAAGACTCCGGACTGATCTCTCAAATTGATAAGTACATACAATCACTTAAATATACGGTACTTATGTTGTGATATAATTAGTTGTTATATTATATATTAATCTATTTTAAATATTGCTGACTATTCTATTTAAGATTTCGAATATTATTATATTTTTTATTTATTTAATAAAATTAACTGTAATTATAGATTTAAAATTAAAAATAGATAGCTCTCATATATTTATTTTTTATCCATCATCTGATATAAAGTTAACATTTCATTCAGTATCATTTATAAATATGTTTTTTTTAATTTATAAGTAAACTTAACACGTATTAATGGTGTTGATTAATATATTAAAAACAACAGATAAAATAATAATTTATTAAATTATGACCCAAAAGGAACGCCAATACTAGAAGTTATATTATGTTAATCTACTTATTTATATAAAAAGGATAAGTTATTTATTTTGTTCATTTAATAAAATCTTATATAATATAATTTTTTATTGAGTAGTGAGTTTACTCAGATCAATGTTCACTAAATTATACTATATAATAATTTAATTACGCTCTATTGATTCCAGTTTTATGCTTCTAGAAAGCTGCTGTCCTGCAATGAAATCCACGTGTCACCTTCTAAACCTTTAACCATTTCCAAAGCTCCGGCAACTTTTCCGTTCCAAATGACAAACCACGCGGTGACAACACATCATTTTCACGCTCGCAAAACATAACCACATGATTTTTTCCAATCACCCAATCAACAAATAAAACGTCGACATCTGTCAGTTCCACGATTGTAATTTTCTCATCCAACAGTGGCATTTGTTTCTTCACCATCTCGAGAAAAAGGAAAGATCCTCCGCTCTTTCGTTAACCCTTTCCAAAGTTTTCCCTTTCTTTGAAAAAAAAATAAAAAATCATTTTCCCTAAAACCCTAAAGCCACCAATGACTTGCGTCCCCAAGCTCCGAGTTGCCGCCGCCGTTGTT